TAATCTGGTGAGATGTTGGAAGCAGTATTTCAGGGTCTTTGGACTTTCACTTTTTACTTGTGTGTCAAGATCGTGTGACCACCGTAGCAGACTAGCATTGTATTACAATTAGGCTGTCAGCGTCATAAGCCAGTTTGTCATGATCTTGCGACCAATCTGACAGATTATTAAACCAGTCATTCTCTGGTCTTGGAACCACACTATTGCATTGTGACCAGTCTGCCAGCATTTGTGCACCAGTGTTCCAAGGTTTTGGAACATTCTGTCGGGGCTTTAGGTCTATTTGCCATGGTTTTGGAACAGCCTGTCTGGACTCTGGATCAGCCTATCTGAATTTTGGAACAGTCTGTCAGGGTCTTGGATCAGTCTGCCAGAGCCTTGGATCAGTCTGCCTGGGGTTTGAAACAGTCTGTCAGGGTCTTGGATTAGTCTGCCATGGTTTTGGATCAGTCTGTCGGGGCCTTGGATCAGCCTGCCTGGGGGCTTGTATCAGCAGGGTTTTGGTTCAGTCTGCAAGAGTCTTGGATCAGTCTGCCTGGGTTTTGAAACAGTCTGTCAGGGTCTTGGACCAGTCTGCCAGGGTCTTGGATCAGTCTGCCAGGGTCTTGGATCAGCCTACAGGGTCTTGGATCAGTCTGCCAGGGTCTTGGAACAGTCTATCTGGGCATTGGACCAGTCTGCTATTGTTTTGGAACCCCTTCTGTCAAATCTTGGAATCACATCACATCACATCACCTTGCGCCACGTCACGTTACGTCACGTTCGACATGCTACATAAGATTACCACGTCATTTTTGTGTATTTAATTTAACTGAACGCTTATCACTTATTTACCTTGATGATGCTTCTACTGCCAAATAATGCATCACATTACGTTTACAGGTGACATAGACACACTAGTAGTTGCGTTCATGCACAACTCCTTAGCACGGGCTAAGAGGTCAAATTCCTTAGCCCGTGCTAAGAAAACGTGCATGAACGCTTAGCTAAGGAATGCTAAGTACGGGCACAGGGAGTTGGACAAACTTATGTATTTTAATAACTTATTAAATAATAAATTGTTATATAACGTTTCTTATACCCCGCCCCTTCCTGGTATCGATTTCAAGTAATCACTGATCCTTGTTTATACCACTCTTTTCTTTATCACTACTTTGTTACGCGCTAATGTTATATGCAAATGTTAACGCGCGATGTAGACACGCAGGGCGTCCAACTCCTTGTGGTGCGAGTAAAATCTCATCCGATATTAAGACGCGTTCCAGACCCTTAGCACGGGCTAACAAATTGTGCGCGAACACTTAGGCCAGGGCTAAGCGCCCTCTGTGGCGACATTTAGGTGTGAATATTATGCACGTGATCAAATATATGCAACTTTCTCATTTCCAAAATGGCAACCGACTCAGTGTGTACGAAACTTCGTTCCCTTGCAAATACTGTAGCGACAAGGAGGCAAAAGCTTTACTGAGTATATGGAAATCTTGAGACACTTGGACTCCTCGCCGGGGAACAGAAAAAATGCATACCAGGGTATGCCAGCTAAATTAGAGAGATTTTCCGGCATAAGGTAGAAGCCTACTCATAAATTAAAACAAAACAAAGACAGAATTTATTCATTTTGCAATAAATTGCACTCCAAGGCAATATAAGGATACCTAAAAAAAGTTGGGGGTCATCAGCCTTTTTTTCGAGAAATTGATGGTTGTATTTCAGTGGAAAGTCGCCATTTTGACACTATTATAACACTTTTACCACAGGTTCCTATGGCAGATATATTATGCAATATCTCAAATTGTAGCCTGGTGACATAGGCTGAAAAAATAGTATATTGTTGATGATGGAGTACTTTTTGTTGTTCTGAATTATTTAAAAAAATCTGGGTTTTAAAAAGTGTCAAAAAATGCATTTTTTCTTTAACATTGTGTTCTATGAAATTGTTCTAAAAATAACATTTTTCAAGAAATATTAGGACACGTTTCTCAAAAAAACATAACTGTAACACACAAAATAATGCTATTTCATTGTACCATGCGACATTAGCTTCATGATTGTACATAATAAACATTATGATTGTCATTGGATTTATGACCAATTTTGTCAAAAATTATGACTAGGCCCCTTAGCCCGTGCCAAGGACTGGCCCCCAGTGCGTGGTCGCAATTGGGTCTAGCCGAAATGCAAATATGTGAGATAAGCCTAAATCAGCTTAAATTTTAGCTCGTACTTCGTGTAGCGTGAACACTACTTATGATAAATGCAATTCTAACCCCTCAAGTGTACTGTACACATTGACAGAGGTCCTTGAGTTTGAATAAAGCCAGCACTTCATATATTCATATAGTAGTTTGAAAACGTATTGTGTATTGTAATGTGTATCAGTGAATGCAGCTTCACCGCACACCTGATTTACTGATCGTCTAACTGGTTCATTGGTCTAGTGGTTATACTAAGATCAAAGTTCAAAGTTTGATTACAAACGCTTAATTCATACACCTTGCTTATTTTATAACACGTGCGGCTATTGTTACGATAGTATTCGTAGTTCAAGACATGATGTACATCTGCTGGGTGCTCTTCGTGATATTTTAGGTTTTACAAGACTGTGTCGCCCTGTTCTACTTGTGGAGAGTTATGTGTGCACGCTGACCTAGTTTAGGTATGGCGAGGTATGTTGTAAGGTGTGCCGCTATTCAAACAATTAGCTTAAAGCGATTATAAAAGAACACCCTTTTCATTACCACCCACACAGGGACTAATCCTACACAGTCGTGATAATTACACAGTCTCTTATTTACTTAGATAGCACGGTTCATGTACACACATAAGGCAATGTTGACGACAATAACCACTGTGAGTTGGAAATACAGCCAGTAAAAACCCATCTCAAATATACGACTCGAGTCGGGTCACTGCTACGTAGGGCATGGGAATATAATAAGGTGGGGACAAAGCCTTACTCTTGCGAACACACTCAATCTACAGAGCAACAAAACCAACAAAAGCATTGGTCTGTATAAAGAATGTTAAGAATAAGACAATTTCACTGAATGAGGCAAGCCTTTGTACAGTCAAACAAATTAATTTTAACGATTGCAAAGATAATCAATGAATGGTAGGCGTTTTGGAATGTAGTAGAACTTCTGAACGTGTAACGCATGAAAGTTGAAAGCTAAAACACGTAAGTAGCCTTGACACATATTCAGCATTGAAAAAGTTACGACTATAAGATGATTTTAATAATCTCTCATTTTTGTCATACCTTTCCACTCCTAGGCGCACAAACTATTTGACTTCTGTTCCTTCTTGTATATATTTTATAGCCATCCACATAGTCACTCTGTAAACTTGTTGCCTCGAGGGCAGTTTAGACTAATGAGAAATAAGGTTATTCTAACGACCTTGCCCACGCAAACGACGCCAGATCCGCTCAATGAACACCATATTGCATTGGTAACATGTAATGGTTTTGAAATTGAATACATTTTTAACTGTTTATATATATGTCGTGAATGTCCGACACTGTTAATCCCCTCTTGGACCGATTTCGTTCAAAGTTGGCACAAAGATAAGTCACAATAGGAGGCATGTGTACGTTGATTGTTGTTTGTGTTTTGTGAATGCTGTTGTCTTCATAACACTAAAATCAGTATTTGAACATGTCGTCGACCGCCTGTCAGGTACGCCTGGGCCGATTTCATACAAACTTGACATTGACGTCATTCATGGTGACGTACATGTACACACTAATGCTCGTCATTTTGTTTCGTGATCTGGTTCAAAATGGCCGACTGGCGGCCACGAATTTGTACGTGTCTTTAACTTTTTCTCGAACATGCTTTGACCGTTTTTGTTCAAAGTAGACATTAAGATAAAATAACATGATATACATATTTATGATGATTTTTCTTTGTATTCAAGAAAACAACAGTTAAACATATTATCAACCGGTTTATCATGCAAGCCTTGGCTAATTTCATTCAAGCTTTGTATTCATAGTAGATAAATGATTCACGTTTTGTTTCGTGATTGTTATACTGAAACAACTGATTGACATAAACAGTTTACAAATACTACTTGAATATGTCCAGAACAGTCTTCCAGATAAAAATGAATAATGGGTTGCCGATTTCAAGATTTTTCTCAGTAGCAATTCACAGAGATTGAACGTCAAATACACTAAATTATTGGTGGGACTAATCATTTACAATTACTTTTTTACATATAAACTTGCACTCTGGGAGCAAAACCTAAGGCTGTGTGCCAGTTGTATTGGGGTTGTGGAACTATTAAGAATTTACTATACGTTCAAATTTCGACGATTTTCAGCTCTTTAAAAATTCGTTTCCTAACCTATGTAATTGTTTGTTTGACTTTCACGAGCTAACACTTTGCATTACTGCACGGATGCGTGCTGATTCATAAATAGCTGCGGTGCACGGTAATTCGAACGAATCTTTAATTATTTCCCGTGTTTTGCGTGTACTCATATCATCAAACATGTCACATAGTATTTCAACGGCAACAAATTCCTCTTTTGTAGAGTTTAAAAGAACAAACAGTTCATAAACGCATTTGTTTTGAAAAATAACTCACAGGAAAAGACGAGAAAAATCCGGATTACAGCAGCGGGCATACTGCCATATATTCGTATTAATCGAAAGCACCCCGGGCGTTGAAATGTACTAGAGACTACTTTTTCGCAGATATTTATATGATCCATGCCAAGAACTTAGGTCGAGAGTAACACTGGTGGCACGAGTTATGTATAATTCATTGTCACAATTAGACTACAAATTGTATATCAATATCTGAAATCAAAATACTACTTTATAATACAATATATGTGATTGCGCGAAAAATCTATCAGTGAAAACGAAAATGCTTTACATTGAGAGTTTCGTCGTAGAGGTCACACTCTCCGAGAGCATGCGAAAGATACTACATGCGAATATTATGTGAGTAGTATATTCACTATTGGTGTTTACCGTTACGTATTTCAGATGGTTCCGAGAGAGCACAGACCACGTGTAGTGACAACCCATGTGTGATTGGTACTTGTATACCACAAAGCGGCAATCCTAGGTATATTTGTAAATGCTATGAAGGTGTCACAGGACAACAGTGTGAAACAAGTAAGTGACAACAACCAATCATTACTACTACATCTGTCACCGTAACACCGTAAGTTACAGCGTGCCATAATTTTGCGGTATTTTACGTGGTATCTTCATTCTACCATATTATGAAATGCGAATTCCAAATATGGAACGATTACGCGCGTAAGCGCAATAAAAATAAAATAACAATATAATAATAAAAACAAACATGCCGTTTGACCGGTACACTCAATCTGTTCTAAACTTTTTGTATTTCGGCATTCCCATAATGTATCCTGGGGGAATGTATAATAATAAGGTCATTACGAGGATACCGAAAAGTATGCAGTACTGCGCGTCGGTCGATACTTCCGCTGTACTGTCTTCGTGCATACTTTTCGGTATTCTCGTAATAATCTCATAGTATTTCGAATAAATTCCGTTCCATAAAAACTAGAATTTTCTTTTCAAATAAAGTATTTATTAATGGTTTCTGCCTATCAAATGGGGCTTGTCAGTCGTTAAAAAATATCCCATAAAAATGAATGACGAATTGATAATGGGCGTTACCAAATAGCTACTCAGGCTCTAGCCAATGAATTTGAACGTGTAACGTGTATTTTATAACTCTCCGTTAAAACACACCAAATAATAGACTGCTTTTACATAATTAAATATTGTTGTGTTTCTCCCACAGATATTGACGAATGTATTAGCGATCCTTGTCAACATGAAGGAACATGTGTGAATGTTATACCAGGCTATCACTGTTCATGTCAACCAGGGTGGACTGGAGTCAATTGTGAAAACGGTAAGGAATGCTATATTTAGCTATAACTTCGTCTCTAATATAGAACGTAATACTTTATGTGAATAAAACACTATGTAAATACAAAATATGCAAAGCTGCCCTCTACGTGTGAACATGTCACACATTTTTATTAAGTTAATTACACCTCTGTTCGGCGTCCTACCCAATAGGGTTATCGAATACAGTATTGACTATCTTATATACGCCTTACTGTTATTGGTTGCAAAGTACTAACTGGTGCATTAATTAATAACTGTCGTGTAAATATATCCACAGAAACTGGTCCATGCGTTGTTGAGCAGGGCGACGAGCCGCCGTGTCAGCACGGTGGCGCTTGTACAGCAATCAACGATGTCGACTATGTTTGTGAATGCCCAAAAAACTATAGCGGCAACATCTGTGAAAACGGTGAGTGAAACGTAGTCACGTGACCTTTTAAATACTAGTAAAACGCAGCATAACACATCGAATGTGTTTAAGTGCTGTATAAGTTGTCGTAAGGGGCGCCTTATTTAGTTTGGCTTCCCAACTTGTTCAACAGATTTAAAATTTAAAGGCTTAACTTAATTTATTACAACTTTCCACGTGCAAGTTTCCATCTAATATATTAGACCAGTAATATTTGTTGAATGCGGTAAACCCCCCCCCCCTCGCCTCGGGGGATTTTAAACACTTCGCAATTGAGAGTCTGAAAATGTTTTGATCCGTTTGGTAGACCATTAGAAACTTTGGGTTGATGGCAGAAAAACTATGGGAAATATTTCTCCCTCACTTAGATTTGTACTATTTTTTCGAATAACGAATTTGAACTTTTATTTTCTGTGTGTATAATATTTTTTTTCTTAAAAATTAGGCATGCAGATTTTTTTCTGTTTTTGACGATGCAGTATTTTCCCCATGATTCTTCACTGTGCATTTTTTCAAAATTCTACCGTCACCTTATAGTTCATAATGGTTCACCCCGTTATAAAACTAAAAGAATATTTTAGACTTATATTTCTATTTTTTAATTTATTGCATTCATACTTCCACAAAGAAACACCCCAAGTCTAATTGTATTGTTAAGGTTGAATATCTAGGCGTTTGTCCATGATTCGATATCAAGATATCAAGATGGATAAAATTCATAAATGAATTCCGTATACAAACAGTCTTCAAAACTACGGTTCCTTGTAATAATGTTTGTATTTCGTAGATGTGAATGAATGCGTCACGTTAGCTGAGTATCCCTGCATTAATGGCGGTACATGTGTCAACATTGATGGCAGTTATTATTGTGACTGTCCACCTGGTTTTACTGACGAGTCTTGTCAAACACGTAAGTAATCACATACATGTATCTATGTTACGTAATATTCATGAATACTTGGTTCAAAACACGAGGCTGCAATTTTCGGAGATTCTCATATGAATTACAATTCCAATTATTAATAAAATAATATTGTTTGTTATATATGATATTCGATGTTTTGAGCTCGATCGTATCCGGGCATCAGACACAACTATTTTCCCCGCGATGATATATATATATATTACTATGTCATACATTTTTTTGACGAATTGGACCATCAGAGATATTATTGTTATGCTTACGAGGTCGTTGAAAGTTTATTCCTTGTAATAAAAATAAATTATCAAGTGTTTCAAAATAAGTTCAAGATTCAATATTAGTGGTTTCTTTGACGGTCCATTTGTGAAATATATTTGCCATAGCTTATTAATTCATGCTATTCATTACTGTATTTCTATTCTATACTTTTTAACTATCAAATATTGAAATTAGTTTGATGGTCTCAAGTTGTTCGTGACGAGCCATATTCATCTAAGTAGGATAATGTTTTATATTACGGTTATTTTTCATTGCCTTTTCTCAATATGCTTGACCCTTATCGAGTTTTCATGTTGTTCTGTTTAATATGCGCCCATTTCAGAATTTGATACCTTGCATCAAAATTGCATTTAATATGGCCTATAGAACACTTCTCACTGAACCATGTAAGCATGGCTTTGGGCTTTGCATAGTTCATTAGAATTTAGGAAAATCGTGAAAGTGAATTTATAAGAAAAAATAACCCCGAGCGATTACAATTGAAATTACGTTTGATTTGGTGATCATGACCTTGCTTTTGTCTGATGTGGACTAAGTTTCGTGCTGCATTGTTTCTTGATTTGTTGTCGAAGCTACTTATCATTTCTCGCATGGTCAATATAATCGACGTTAATGGCGGTTTATACGATCACAGTCATATTGACCTTCGTCTTCTATCGCATACACCCGTACTCAAGTACCACTACAGTAAATTCCAATCTAAGTGTATACTATTATTCTCTTAACAAACAACCTTGGAACGACATCATTTGCTAATAAAATGATAACGTTTTATTTTAGCTATCGACCTATGTGCCAATTCACCTTGTGAAAATGGCGGTACCTGTGAAACCATAGAGGACGGCAATGACTACCAATGCTTATGCACAGTAAGGTGGCAAGGAGACAACTGTCAAATAGGTGAGCCAATCACAAGTGTTGTGTCAATTATATTATAAACATAAAACCTAAGACGAGAGCGTCCAACCTCGATTGAACTCATTTTATTAATTTTTTTAACCGACAGAGAAAAATGCGTGTGGAATCGATCCTTGTAAAAATGGAGGCACGTGTAATAACCACTACACGTATTACACATGTACATGTCCTGCACATTACTATGGCGATACATGTGGCAGTGGTAAGTTATTTCGCTTTGTACTCCAGCCCGTTGGGGGGTCGATTAGGCATTGTTCCATTTAACTGTGGAACGAATGGGCATGAGCGCCACCACTGGCATATACATAAAGTAGCCTAATAAAAAGAACTAAAACCAAGAGTACAAATCATAATCTAAATACTAGAGTCGTGTGTTTTCGCATTGTTCTACATAGTCGTGGGACAAGGTACGAAAAAAACACCAACGTTTACTGAAAGAAATATGTACGTCGGCGTATCGCAAGTTGTAGTGTTAGTATTGTGCAGTCTTGTTTTTTATTCGTATACACGGTACCGATGATGATGTCATAGCAATTCAAAAGTTGTACCTGCTGTTTGTGTTTATTATTAGTTAAGACGATAAGTATTGTACGTTACATTACAGAATACGGTATTTGTTACGATAAGTATTTTACGTTACATTACATTACAGAGTATGGTATTTGTTACGATAAGTAGTGTACGTTACATTACAGAGTACGGTATTGGTTACGATAAGTATTTTACGTTACATTACAGAGTATGGTATTTGTTACGCCACTGGAAATGCACATTACATCACATTCGATGAAAGGTGGTTTGATTTCTATGGAACGTGCAAATATCAATTCGTCGATAGATGTGACGATATTCCTAGTCCTAGAATGAAAGTGTTGACGCAGAATACAAGACCGTCTACTGAATCTGACACTACCTATATATCTGACGTGTTCATAACTGTTGGTGCTTATGTGAGTGTTATTTTTTTTTACATATGACATGTTTATGTTGTTGTCGGGCGTTGTTATTTAAAATAAAACAATAGTACGCACTCTGTGTTGGCATTACAGGGGAAAAATGCATTTAGAGGTGAAATTTCACTTTTTTAACATTTTATATAGCATCCTTATTCTTGAGTGAAAATTTCAACATTCTTTTGTGAGTAGAACACATTATAAACTAGGTTTATTAAAAACATAACTTATTAACCTAAAAAATATGCAATCAAGAAGTTGAAGGAATATTTATGTTATATGTTGCAGGAAATTAGTCTGGGTGCTGGAATGGACGTTCTAGTAAACAACATTAAAGTGAATCTACCAATAAATATAGGCGCAGGTGAAATAACTATCGAATATGTTGGCCTCTATGTGGTGAGTGAAACTTACGTCATTCTCTCATTGATTTTTAAAGGTTGCCAAGCAATGGCTGACAGTGTTTGTATATGGTTAGGTAGCGCAAACTTTTAACGACCGGTACTATATTCTGAATAAGATGTCAGTAAATAACCTTTACTAAGTCTGTGTATTTCCATTAACTATTGCAGGAACTCAGCACAGACTTTGACGCTGTTGTGAAATGGGACGGCTACAATACACTAGAGGTTCGCCTTCCTGTTACATTAATTGGAAAGACGTGTGGGTTATGTGGCAATTTTAATGGAGATCCATCCGATGATTTGATGACACCAAACATGGAACAGGTAGGACCATACGACGTAGTTAAATACTCACAACACAGATCACAGGTGTACTTAATCCGATATATAAGAAAAGTAGGAATGGAATTGAATGCATGTGCGGTATCATCGCTATCGTGTGTTCTTGTGTGTCTGTACAACAAGCACACTACATAGCGGTGCTTCCACGCACGTAAATCTACACCGCTCATACCCGGATATTAGATCGGCCTTGTGAAGACTGCATTACAACGTTATGAAACTCATACAATATTAGAAGTATTTTCGATCATACTCCGTGTTTACCTTTATTTTTTTAATGTTGGTGCATTTACTTACGAGCAAGAACAATAGTAGACTGGCAAAGTCGGGACTTCTTTTTTGTTTTACAAAAGAAATATATAATTAATTGTCAATTTGGCCTTTTTAGCGTGATCGCGAAAACTAACGTGACCACGAAAGAAATTCCGATTATATTTTTTTTTGTGAAAGAAAAAAGAAGTCTCGACTTTGCCAGTCTAGAACAATAGTTACACAGCGTGACGTCAGAAATAGAACCCGTATTTCACAATAATAAACCGTCCAGGGCCATGTAAATGGTAAACACCATACGAAAAGAAAACATGGAGTTGGAGCCGATGTTTAGTTTCTACCATAGCTACGTATTGTACACCAAATGGTTTTGCAAAGCGACATAAGGTCTTAAGTTGGGGACAAAATAGTTTGGCGAAAGCCGACTTGAGTTCACTCACAATGATTTCAATTCTACCAACATTGACACTGGAGTTAAAAAAGATGAAAGAAACGTCGGAAATATGAAATACTAATAAAAGATAATCATAACAAATTGAAACTTTTTCAAATCAATGCGGGTAAAAGTCAATATATAAGAAAATCCCAAATAATAATAATACAAAAACTAACTACAGATACTACGAATTATTCTCGTTAACAAACTACACAACCGTGACTAATTAGTTAACCAAAGTAAGATAGAAATTATATATGGTCGAATGCTGTAGTAATAAATGAAATGAATGCAAACCGTCGTCAGCGAGGCATATTTATGTACTGCTGAAACTGGTATTTTCTTGCAATGCTACATCGACGTGAAAAATAATTGTTTTTCGAATCTTCTTTGCCGTTCATATGCACGATGACACGTAATCAATGTCGTAACAACAAATGGATATAATTTCAAAATAGCAATTATTATTATCACCATATGCATATCGTTGTCCATGTTTGGGCCAAATAACATATTGACGAATGAGGGCGTGATTTCGGCACGAGCTGAGTCGGTCCCAAATGGGTTCCAACATAGACCCTCTGTTAGAGGGTCTGTGGTTCCAACTAACATGAACGCCACTGCTGTAATCCCTCTGCAAACACAAAGGATTAAAATTTTAGTAGCAATACATGAACATGAACGTAGAAATAGACATAAATATCCAGAATAGAAAACTAATTACTGCCTACATTGAAGCGCGTAAATGATTAAACTCACTATAACTGTTTCCGAAGACGTCATGTTTTCTATGGGCGGAGTGTCCCCCCCGGTACACACTTTGTCTTGCAATAAATCAATGTTGGGCATACATTGTGACAAAAAAGATGTAAATAACATTATACAACAAATAAACCAGTATTGACAATGCACAATACATTTTGAGATCAATGCATGCGGTCAAGAAGGTGTTTTCCAAAGGAGTGAGCAATTATACCTTTTCCCGTTCACTTCGAAATCCCGCGTTATGACAGACAGACGGACGGACGGACGGACGGACGGACAGACAGACAGACAGACAGACAGACAGACAGACAGACAGACAGACAGACAGACAGACAGACAGACAGACAGACAGACAGACAGACAGACAGACAGACAGACAGACAGAGTATGTTTAGGGTACTTTTGCGTCTAATAATGTAGGGGTATCTCAACGTTTGATTGGTGAATTCAGTACAAACCAAAATAGTTTTTACACTTACACGACTATTAGCCTCTATTTATATAACATTGTATCATTCATAGGTCAATAGTACTGTAGAATTTGGAAACAGTTGGGCTGTTGAAGAGTTAGGCACAACGTGTATAGACGCAGAGGACATATCAATCAATTGCTCATCAACGTCCCGAACAGAAGCTGAATACCTTTGTGGTATTATCACCGACCCTGCAGGTAATGTGTAGCTTACTAAATGAAACATACATCACTGTAAACGTGTAAGCTTCTTAATATAACGTATAACGTTTTAATCAATTAGGGTTGCACTGGTTCTCACTACAAGAAGTTACGATTCCCCCTGCCAAATGCTAAGGAAAACTGAAACATATATATACATATTTACATGAAATATTGTCCACCTATGTAGATCTGTAGTGTATTGTATTGTATTCAGCCTTCTAAATATAATGTATATATTGCAGAGTAGTGTTCTAAATATAATGTATATATTGCAGAATAGTGTTCTGAATATAATGTATATATTGCAGAGTATTGTTCTGAATATAATATATATATTGCAGAGTAGTGTTCTGAATATAATGTATATATTGCAGAGTAGTGTTCTGAATATAATGTATATATTGCAGAGTAGTGTTCTGAATATAATGTATATATTGCAGAGTAGTGTTCTGAATTTAATGTATATATTGCAGAGTAGTGTTCTGAATATAATGTATATATTGCAGAGTAGTGTTCTGAATTTAATGTATATATTGCAGAGTAGTGTTCTGAATATAATGTATATATTGCAGAGTAGTGTTCTGAATATAATGTATATATTGCAGAGTAGTGTTCTGAATATAATGTATATATTGCAGAGTAGTGTTCTGAATATAATGTATATATTGCAGAGTAGTGTTCTAAATATAATGTATATATTGCAGAGTAGTGCTCTGAATATAATGTAAATATTGCAGAGTGGTGTTCTGAATATAATATATATATTGCAGAGTAGTGTTCTGAATATAATATATATATTGCAGAGTAGTGTTCTGAATATAATGTATATATTGCAGAGTAGTGTTCTGAATATAATGTATATATTGCAGAGTAGTGTTCTGAATATAATATATATATTGCAGAGTAGTGTTCTGAATATAATGTATATATTGCAGAGTAGTGTTCTGAATATAATGTATTGATTACTAATTGCAATATAGCTGAATGTTCTGAATGTATCTACAATCTTGTAGGTCTGCCTCGTCAGAGAAATTGTTAGAATACTGAGGTTAATCACTATAGTCATCATTCTACATGATTGGCATGCAATATTATATGAGTCAGTCATAGATTCTTGCTACAAATCTTATTTCCTGTTGTTCATAGGTCCATTAAGTTCCTGCAATGCGACATTACAAAACTGGTACGTAAAGAATTTCTACGATGCTTGCATCCACGATGTGTGCACTGATCCCGATATGGCGTCTTCTAAAGCATGTCACGTGATTGAACTGTATGCTCAAGTTTGCTCGGACGAGGAAGTACCCTTGGGAAGCTGGAGAAATCTTACCAATTGTCGTAAGTGCATATTGATGTGGGATTATATTGGCTGTGATGCATGTGTAATTTAAGTTTTACATGCGATAAACAAATGAGTTATGTTCGCGGGCAATAACTAGGGGCGCTATTTTTGTTTCGAAAGTGTCAAAAAATTATTGATTCAACATTGTTTACCAAGCACGAAATATTTGTTAACTACCTTATTATTCTTTAATGCTATACTCAATCTAATTCTCATTCTAATCAGCTGCAACATGCCCTGGTAACACTGTGTATGAGTGGTGTGCCAATGCATGCCGACCAGACTGCGCATATGAAAATGAAGAGGCGTGTGAGAAGAATTGCATCGAAGGATGCGTCTGCCCGCCTGACATGGTGTTCGACGGTGGTCTCAGGACATGCGTTAATCGAATGCAGTGTGGTTGCAGCAGCGACGGTAGATACTATGTGGTAAGCATGGGCATTTCGAATGAGACTGAAAAAATATCAAAACTAGTACCTTTTTTAACAATTGATATGTGTAGTTTAGACATTCAAAATGGTGGTATGTGAAAGTCATTTATGACTTTAAAGCGGGGGAGTTGTTACCTGCGCATGCGTCAGATGGCCATAGCGTGTCATTGTTTACAAACAAACGTCTACCCATGAGCCTTTGTGTTTTTAGCGTGTGTTGTTGTCATTCCTTGGGACTCAACTCCCACGCGTGCGCAGGTCCCACTCCCGCTTTTTAATAATCATATAACACTTCCTTCTTACAGGCAGACACGTCATTCGTCGACGGAGATGTGTGCCAGACAGCGTGTACATGTGATTCTAATCACACCCTCGAATGCGTTGACAATACCTGTCCTGAAAACTCCCAATGTCTTATTAACAACACAGCGCTTGAATGTGTATGTAACAACGGCTATGTATTTAACGGAACCCACTGCGATGGTAATAATGCATTTTATTTACATTGTTAATCTGCTGATGTATGAGTTTATTCGCCTACAATAGTATAATTATTATACAGGTCTTTTACAATAGATTTGTCTGTGGCTTTTCAGACATCAACGAGTGCTACGATAGTCCGTGTGACCATGGTGTCTGCCGAGACCAGGAAGGGTTTTACGAATGTGACTGTGAGCCATATTATAATGGCGTTAATTGTGATAACTACGACGATTGTTACAGTTCACCTTGTCAGAATGGAGCAAGTTGTGTGGATCTTGACTCTGATTACAGCTGTACCTGCTTAGTTGGGTATTCAGGACTCAATTGTGAAAACGGTGAGTTGCCATTTTAGATAATCACGTGTCGTTCTGCAATGTAAAGCACCCGATTTACCTCTCATTACTGTGTATATTGTATAACATATTATTGTGTTATCGTCTTAGATACCGACGAATGCTCGAGTAACCCTTGCCAAAATCTTGGAGTTTGCTATAATGGCTTAGCTTTCTATAACTGTACGTGCTTACCTGGAACAGATGGATATAACTGCCAAATAGGTAAGAAAAATTTATTTTTTGGTTAAGAACACTATCTAAAATGGAATAACTTCAATACTGAATTTTATACGGTATATGTTTTATTTGTTTAATATTGTTATTGTGAATTCCAGTGAATGACGCTTGTTATAGTAATCCGTGTCAAAATAAAGGTGCGTGTGATCAAGTGGGGAATTCAACCACCAATTATACATGTACTTGTGCAGCGGGTTTCACTGGAGACAATTGTGAAACAGGTAAGTCGGCTAGAAATCTACCTGTAAACACATAGTTAAAATAGTTGCTAGTTTAGCATTTTGTTAAAGTTTCCTAGTATTCTGTATGTAAAATGCAAATGATTGAATAAAGTACAATTTCCATTTTCACAGCTTTGGACAAATGCGTGGGCGACCCGTGTGGACCAAACGGCGAGTGTCAAAACAAATACACATACTATAATTGTATATGCAATGAAGGGTTTATGGGAAGGCATTGTGATATAGGTAAGTATTGCATGGTGACAACGTAGTCGATGATTTTAATGAACGTAGATAACTCTAAATGCAAAAAATCAAAATAGTAGTTGCCTGGTGTTGATGAACATGCTTCATCCGTTTGACGACGATTTTGTTGATACAGTATTGTTCCGGTTGTACCTTTGATAAGCTTGTAATTACTGTTTCAGTAAATAACCAAACCAACTGTTGAGCTGAATCGATAGCTGTAGTATTCATGTATTATGGCATTTTTGTCTGTACTTATAGTCTATGCGTTACCAGTTTTACCATATAAGACATCACACGTGTTTACGTTTTGCATATGCGAAGACAAGCACATTTCATAGCTCAATAAATTGTTTTACTTTTTTTAGAATTCGCCATTTGTGTGGCCTCCGGTGACCCTCACTACAGGACATTTGACGGGGTGTATTTTGATTATCAGGGAACATGTCAGTATGTTTTAGCCAAGAACTGTGGAGAAGACCAACCCCCATTTGAAGTAGATGTGTTCAATCAAAGAAAGTACCCGGATGCATCTGTTTCTTATACCTATGAAGTACAAATTGAAGTAAACGGATCGGTAAGATACCATGGCCTTATTTCATTTAATTTTACATGTATACACATAAATGATATAAACAATATAAACATTAATATAATGTTCTTTTCCATTTTGCAGTATATTTTCTTTGGCCAAAACAGAGAAGTCAGAGTGGATGGACTAATAATAACACCACCGGCCATTCTAAACAGTGGTGTCACTATCTCGTATGTTGGACTCAATGTGGTAGGTATCGTCCAACTACGATTGGTATGTTGTTAAATTTGATCCTAAACAAGCTATAAAAATTACTCAGAATAGATTTTGACGATCTTTTGAAGAAAAACAATGTCCCTGCAAAGATGATCACGAGCACCATATAGCCTTCCACGTGATTCTGGGTGGTCAGTACCAACGTTCCAATATTAAGTCTAATTTTGTGAATTTAATGATTGCTAGTACCACTCATCTAGTCACTGCAGCCTTAATAATACAGGCCCTCCAAGGCATCAGATACCCAATTATAGCCTTTACTTTGAATTCATGTCATGGTTAACGCCACTCGTTGTCATTTATATAACATCTCCTGGTTTTCACTATTTCTACATCTTTACTACAAAATTAAATATTTCTTGTCATGTGTATTTCAGGTGTTAGTTGCAGAATTTGGGCTTACTGTGAGATGGGATGGAGATAATACCGTTGATGTCAGTGTACAGTCTAACTACAAGAATAAGGTTTGCGGTCTCTGTGGGAACTATAATGGTAATACCACTGATGAATTCACAACACAAACTGGCAACATTGTAAGTGCAGTGAACGCTCATATGCATATATATCATACATATGTAAACAGTAACGTAACCACAACTATAAACATTCGTAAGGTAAGATGAAATGGATACAGCTACATTGAAATTAACCAGTGAAATTGGCTGATAAACAATATGTGTCATTTCAGGAGGGATCTGAACTTGCATTTGGTAATAGCTGGGCTAAAGAACCCCAAGATGATCGTTATCCTAGATGTCAACCAATAACAAGTACAGCTGACCCATGTTCAACACTTGATTCAGATATCATTAGTGCTGCACAAGTCAATTGCTCTATCATAACAAACGTTAATGGTAATTGGACCTATCTTTTTCCAAGGACAAAAGTTTTATAGGGGAGGGGTGTTATAAATTAAATTAAGGGAATAATTATTTTGATAATGGTGTTCAATTCGTAGTAAATATGTGTATTTACACAGTGACTCCTTGTGAACACTTTGCTACAGTTGGGTCATTTAATAACAGTCATTTGCATGTTCTCACAATATATTATTAAAACACGAGCCCGCTGTGACACTAGATATAATTTTCATCGATCAACGTCAATACTCACCCGTCTAATTTCTGAGTCTAATGATTACACCTCGTTCATTACCGTTGCTAAGTAGGTGCGGTATTGTTTGTCGTACAGCAATCACCGACCTTGAGACTCAACACAGCACTGATGCACAAGCTGATGCTAACTTAATCGTCAACTCAAGTTGAAGATCACTTGTATTCATTAATTCTATCCAAATATTCTAACATGTACCGGGTTAAACACACAACTCAAGAACATTCGTGGATGCCTTCATGTTTCTTCATGTTATTTTGTAACCAGTAGTACAAACCTAAACTATAAATGTCTATAATTTTGTATATACATATATACACACATATATAAACATATATAAGGTAGGGGAATATGCAGGTGTACACAGTTCAATTGTACTGACATTTTTATCTCTTAAACTTCAGGACCATTTGCGGGTTGCCATTCTCGTATAGCACCTCAGCGATATGCCGATGACTGTGTCTACGATATATGCGCTGACCCAGACCAAGGTTACCGGGTTGTTTGCGATATGGTAGCATCGTATGCGTTAATGTGCCGTAGTAACTACATCAGCATAGGAGACTGGCGCACGATCGCTGAATGCCGTAAGTATATTTGTATCCGTCCTTCAGTCGATTTCCCCACAAGAATAATCCATTCATTAACTATCCCAAATATGAGGTTTATAATCACACAATATGTTCTATAAACGGGCATAAACTAAAAGGTGGAAGATGAGTCGCTGGTCGTGTGTTCCTTATCCCCTCTATTGTTTTAGTAAAAAATAGGAAGTGTGAATTTATTTGTTGATAAACAAGGGTTTTATTTTACTTTTGTTGTTTTTTTGTGTTTGTTTTCTTATTTGTTTTCTCCAATTGTGAATGTCAAAAATTAGAAAATTGTATGGCAGAATTACCATAAAACAACTCATGTGGGAATAAAACTGTCCCAATAATATCTGAACAATAAGCCGAGCAAAGAAATATAATAAGTAGCTAATAATTCAAATAATAAATGAACACATTATTGTGCATTGTATTGTTACAGCTCTCGCATGTCCCACTGATAGTGTGTACAAACATAGCGTATCCGCGTGTACGCCCACGTGTGGAAATAAGCAGGCCAATCCACTCACTTGTGAGTACCCGGATATTGAATCATGTGAATGCCTAGATGGAAAGCTTCTAGATGGTGACAAATGTGTAAGTCCTAGCGAATGTGGCTGTTTTGAAGATGGGCTGCACGTGTCCGTAAGTATCAGTCATTGTACACTCTGATATCACCATTTGTTGCTTAGTTATATTTTTCCACTTGTTTTTCTAAAGATACACCTTCAGCTGCTCTTCTATGATTTGCTGTATATGTTTGGTACTTTAGGTTGGTGGTACAATCCCAACTATGTATTGTAATGAGACATGTACATGCGAAGCAAACAACACTATTACATGCATTCCATCGACATGTCACGAGAAGTCATTTTGTGGTCTACAATATGGTGTTCAGGGTTGTCACTGTATCAGTGGTTATGAAGGTACTGGTATAACTTGCCAAGGTGAGGCATCAGTTTTATGGTCATGTACAATTCGATGGTTCTGTCATATTAACATTTGACTAAAATGACAGTCTGCTTAAATTAATATAATATTTGAGTAATATATCTTGCACAATAACAATATCAGAAGGAAGTTTCAGATGCTTATGACCTCGTTTATATATATTGTCCGACGTGATTAAAATGTTACTTTTAAATAGAACCTGCCAAGTCCAATACAGATACATTTTTGAACTAAAAGTTGCATTGATTACGTTTTCAATAATGTTGTTTGACGAGGAGGGTATGGTCAGAAATACCTGCTTGGTTTGTCAGACGTTGATGTTATTATATTGATTGAATTTTAACAATTACTTTTATTACATGATGTTTTGAAGATATCAACGAATGCGAAAGTAATCCTTGTATCCAAGGCAACTGTATCAATTTGGAAAATGCCTTTGCTTGTAACTGCTCCGCTGGCTTCACCGGAGATTTCTGCCAGGTCTATGACGAGTGTTATGCTGACCCATGTGAAAACGGAGCCACCTGTGTTGACTTGGAAAATGCCTATCAGTGTTTGTGTGTTGATGGATATGAAGGTACCGACTGTGAAAAAGGTAAGTGGTGTTTTTGCATTTACCATATTCCATATTCCCTGCTCATGACCCTAACCTAGTTATTTATTCGTAGATATATCATTGAATCATTTTTTAGACTCGTACACAAATATTCTATATTTTAACGAAAATTATAATAAAAGTGTGTTTTTTGATTTTCAGAGATAAATCTATGCGATAGTGACCCTTGTCAAAATGGAGCAAATTGTACAAGTTTTTTCAATGGGTTCAATTGCACATGTACATCGGGTTTCAATGGTTCATTCTGTGAAATTGGTAAGTATGTCACACACTTTGTTCACATTAGAAGACAGATATGTGATTGCATTATGCATTATACAAGTTTAATTGAATTTTTTTCATGCAGATATCGATGAATGTGCAAGTAATCCATGCCAAAATGGAGGAACGTGCTATGACAAGGAAAACGAGTTTATCTGTCAATGTAAACCCCAATACACTGGCGTCACCTGTGCGGATGGTTAGTAAATATCATATTCTTGGACTTAATTACTGTATATCACATGCCCATTACCAAGCAAATGATATAAATGGTTTCAATTAGAGGCATCTTTGTCATATCGCTGTATTGCGATACATTTGCGAACCGCAGCGAACAATTCAATATAACGCCCGGCGACAAATATCTGCTGACGTTTTGGGATTACCGCTTCGAACATATAAGTTAAAATTGACGTATATAAGACACCCTGGGTATGGGAAAGTTATTTCATCAATAATATTCCATTTGCAGTTACCCATACATATAGTATGCTAAGTGTATATAAACACACCAATTATGTGATTATATATTAACTTTGCAGATGTTCAAGGACTTTGTCAATCGCAGCCCTGCTTCAATGGCGCCACATGCATTGATTTTGTCAACTTTAGGTTTTGTCGTTGTGTGGCTGGTTATTCTGGCATTGACTGCAGTGTAGGTGAGTGTTACATTTTCTTGCAGTTTCGCAGTTGTTATCAGATAGATGAAGCCTGGTTGTAATTTCGATTTATCTATTACTATTATGTTTTTTTTCTAAGATGTGAACGAGTGTGGGAGTGATCCTTGTCAGAATAACGGCAGCTGCACGGACTTGGTTAATGGATATAACTGTACTTGTCCAGTGGGTTTTACTGGAGTCAATTGCGAACGAGGTCAGTAGGCTAGGTCATTGTAGAATAAACTGTAGTATGTATGATCATTTCAGTTGAAAGATTGAATAAGTTCACTTTATTTGTTATTATGTACATCCAATCACATCTATTAAAGCGGGGGAGTCGTCACCTACGCATGCGTCAGGTGGCCATAGTGTGTCATTGTTTACAAACAAGCATCTACCCACGAGCCTTTGCATTATTAGCGCGTGTTGTTATCATCGCTCTGGACTCAATTCCCGCGCGTGCGCAGGTGACGACCCTCCCGCTTTAATATAGCTGTTGTATAACACAAAAATGGCATCGCCTGGTGTATTATAAGTTGATTTTAATTTATTTCAATACGCAATGAATTGTTGATATATATGTTTAAGAGGTAGTAGCTTTGCGAAGTGCTAAAGGGCGGTAGTCATCGCGCCACGCATGCGCGAGATATGTGGGTCTCTTATAAACAAAGATGGCGACTTTGACTGTTGGCAGATCAACGAGTACAAACTGAGACGTTACAAAATTTTAATTAATAGGTATGTTTTTAGGTGAAGGTATCGAAGTAGTCACTGGCGGTAATTAGTGCAAGTCGCGCCCAGGTCAAACCTCATACTTTCTATTAGAAGAGCGCACTGGATTGTATGAAAACCAATGTTTAGCAACACAAATGACACACAAGCGCAGCGCGGCGCGGCGACCACCGCTCTTTAAAAATACTAGTACTCTTTTTAATTAAACTAGTATACATGAAACATACTAATACAGAATAATGGCACATTGGTTTAATTGATATTCAAAGGATTGTAATTAGGACTGAATTTGTAATTCATATGGCAATGTTAATTTACAGATATTGGTGACATTGTGGTGGTCAACGTCACTGTTGTTCAGAAATGCAGCCTGTCAGCCAGTATTACATGGGTACTTACAGATGTCGTCACATGGGTACAGGTAAAATACAGAGAAGAAGGAAGTACCGATTGGATCACTGCTGGTACAATTGCTGGAAATCAACGGTTATTCGTTCTGCTTGGATTAAATCCAGTCACGACATACGAAATTGACATTATCGCAATGAGAAATAGCGGGAGTTATGGGTTTGCGGAAATAACAACAGTTGACACATGTATAAGTGGATATTATGGCTTAGATTGTAACAGTGGTGAGTTCAAATTATGGCGTTTTTCTTATGGATGGTATGCCACCGCAACTGGCTACCCTGTACATTTTGTATATATTTATTTATTTGATATTCATATATGTTGTATTTTTTAAAGATAATTCGCAAGGGCCTTTCGATGTGCAAGTAACATATTCAACAACGACTACGTTAACCATATCTTGGTCGATTTTAATATCACTGGAGAATACTGTACAAGAATATGTGATTCAGTACAGACAATTGGGTTCCATTGAATGGTGGAATGGGACAGTAGTAGATTCCACTCTTCGTAATGGCATGTTCACCGGTTTGGAACCTGACTCGTACTACCAGGTTCGGGTTATAGCAAACTTCAACGATGGTACCCACGTGCCGTCATCTGGTTGTATTGATACTCTTCATACATGTGATGGTAGAAGAGAAGGACCCAACTGTGAACACGGTAAGTAGTTATACTGAGTATTTAATTCCTTTCAACGACCGGTATATAATTGTTCAACTAGACTGATTAAAATAACTGTCATTTCACTACACGGTGATCAATTCATCTGAACATTTAAGAGAAATATTTTGTGTGGAGCGCATACCAAATCGACACAAACTGATAATATATAGGCCACCGTGACATTTGCTGTATCACGATTTGAATTAATTTAATCTTCTTAATCTCATAAATATGAAACATTCGTCGTAAATAAACAGGTTTAGAAATACACTAATGACATGATTAACTTGCAGTGTCCAGTACACTGTGTTAATATATAAGATCTGATGCTATAACCATTACGATATTGTACACTGCAGTATTGGTCGCATTGCCGTATGTTGTCGATATATGTTATACGTTATTAAATGTGACACTGTATTTTACCTGTAGAATATTCCATATGTTCTGGTTGGGGTGATCCACATTATACGACATTTGATGGCATGAAGTACGATTTCCAGGGAGATTGTACATACACTCTGGTAACAAACTGTGTGGAAGAAGATGACATTGCAACATTTGAAGTTATGGCTGACAACAGAAAGAACCACCCAGACGACAACGTTTCATTCACGCGAGAAGTCACTGTGACTATCGGGACTATGGTAAGTGCAATAGGTCAAACGGCGCTGTCTCACTTTTTTGTATATCACATTAACACATATAAACCCGAGCGAACATCACATGTTTGCAATGCCTCCTTACTCATATTGTTCTGCAAAAAAATGTATCGTTTTATCAATCAACGTATTCCTGTATGTTGGAACAAATACAGCTTCGAAGAATTAAATACTTCAATATATAATATTTCTGAAGCCATCATAAATACGTATATCCCAGTACTACAATGATTGCAATATATTCCACTTGTATATTTAGACTGTTGCCATGCAATCTGACGGAGTAGTGCACGTGAACGGCGTAGAGGTAAACCTGCCCTGCCAGCCTTCTGATGGCATCGTAATTATGAGAAGTGGTTTACTTGTGGTGAGTATAACAACAAAACATGAAGACATTCTTCAGTCTTCGTGACCATTTGAGATAATATCGATATCACTCTGCAAAGATCGTAACACTAATTGCATTGGCTCATAATCTTATAAGAATACATTGCATATATCTATGCTGAAATTGGAGTAGCTGACATATTTGTTGGTATTGTATTTATTAACAATAGACCATTTTCCGTTCACTGCGAGAATCACGCGTTATGCGTGAAATCGAACGTAAAAACAGGACAAACAAAGGTCATAGCGTCGTAGTCGCGTCAAACATCGCGTGGGATTCGACAAACGCAAAAGTATTTCGGAGACATTTCCATGCTTAATAATGTGTTGTCCACATTTGATGATAGGCAATTTCGATTAAGTAAGGGTATTCGGAAGCAATATTCCTCTGTCGAAGATCGGCCGGTCGATGTGAGTTACGAAATAAAAAATTCTAGTTCAAAATCAAATCTTTCGATTTTTGCGGTCGACGTTCGACGCGCGTTTTTCATACATCTCGCGAGATCTCGCAATTGTACGGAAAATCCCCTATTGAACGATTTTTTTGCAGAACCTGGTTACAGATATCGGGCTATCAGTCAAGTATGATGGAAATGAACGATTTGAAGTGAAGCTACCAACTTCATTCATGAATAAAACATGTGGACTTTGTGGAAACTTTGATGGACTTCCTGACATAGAGTTTACACCAAACGGCACATTGGTAAGTTAATAATTGCACTGGAAAGGGTCATTCCGGATGAGCATTTATAGGTTAGCACTTTAAAGAATAATGTTATGCATCTGATTCCAGACTGCTGTTGGCGCAATGTTTGGGAACAGCTGGGTTAGTGACAACTCATCTGACTGCGATTTCAATGTAGGGGATATTACACCTTGTGCGAATACAGAAGCAGACATGGCTGCCGTCAAATCTATGTGTAGTATACTGAATGAAACGACAGGTATTTTACGTTAATATAATATCACGTCGTTAATATAATATCACTATGAATAATATAATAGAGTAATATAAGTATTTCACGTGTCATGTCTTATAAAAGTTTATAAATGAGTCATTTTCCGATTAGGGCCATTCGCTGACTGTCATTCTAAGCTTCCGCCGGAATCATACTATGAGACATGTGAATACGACCTATGTGCTATGTGGCCGGATGTCTCGATGAAGTGTGACGTCATTGAACTATACGCTGCTGACTGTGCTGCTTTAGGTGTTATAGCTGACAGCTGGAGAACGTCTGAATTTTGTCGTAAGTATACACAGTTAACTACATTGCTGAAAAGACAAGTGAATTAATGCATAACATGTCTGACGTCATACATATATGTGTATATTTTTTTTTTAGCATTGAGCTGTCCTCTGCACTCAACGTACAGTGCGTGTGTGACATGCCCACAGTCCTGTGCTGATTCATACGCTCTCCAGTCGTGCGCACATGTCTGTTCAGAAGGATGCCTGTGCGATGAAGGATACCTATTGGAGGGAGATACATGCGTGGTGCCCGACACGTGCGGATGTGTCGATGAAGGCTATTATTATAAGGTATATTATTCTGTAATCATGTGTGTGCGTGTAAATGATGGTCAATCCAATCATTACGCAGCAGTAGATAGCTTGTTGCATGAAACTTTTGATTTGACCTTCTTGATCACGATGGGTAAATTAGAGTTAAAATAAAAAACAAGGAGATTTGTGTATAAGTTTATATCAATCACAAATTATTTATTGACAAAATCAAAAGAAATGAATTTGTTCGGCACCACAATGTTTTATCTATCATCATTTAACATTGCACTGCGTCAGACGTGCATGTGGTAAGCTAAATACGATCACATTGATTTACTCAAATTAGATCTGATATTGCCATAGAACATGTTTAGCGTGATGGGTGATGAGTGATTTGTTATGAGTCACAATGGAATGTACGCTTGACCGAGTAATTTGCATTTATTTAATATTTATAAGCTATTAAAATGTTGACAAGCGACGATGTTGACAATTACAAAACGGTATTGTATGAAGATGCACATTATTACAATGTATTCCTTGAGTGTTTCTATGGTAACTTATATAAATTATTACCTTATTTACATAGGTTGGAGAAGAGTATGTAGATGCGAGTTGCAGCAGACGATGTTCCTGCAATTCCGGTGGTACAATAAAGTGTGAAGACATAAAATGCCACACAAACGCCATCTGCCAGATTCGTGATGCAAGCAGAAACTGTTTCTGTAAAGATGGTTATATTGGAAACGGTATAGAGTGTGTGAATGGTAGGTATTGTTCAAATTAAAATAACTACAGTGAATGAAAATCATCTCAAAATAATATTCATCCTTCATTGTACTTAGTTAACGTTTGTTTATCAACATTTCAGATATCCCATACGACGTACAAGAGGTACAAGTAAGCAGTATTGGTATCACTGTTACCTGGAAACTCGATTTCATAGCATCTAGAACAATTGTCCGATATCGAAAAGAAGCAAATGATGAATGGACAGAGATGGACCCCATAATGTCTGACCAGTTAATTATCTTTCTTCAAATGCTGGATAGTGAGACTACCTACGCAATTCAAATCCTTGTGCGCCGATTGGATGGGTCAATTGGCGGAAGTGATGTTATATCAGTCACAACATGTGCCTATGGATTCGAAGGCATAGGTTGTTCAAGAAGTAAGCGATCATGGCAGGCAGAATTTTGAACAAAGTAAATTAATACTATAAAATAAAAACAGGTTGTCAGTTTCATTTTGTACATAACTTATTAACTTGTTTTCTCTATGCAGATATGCGAACAGAAGGCGCCTTCAATTTATTGATTGAAACATCTACTTCCACCGCGATATCATTCTCGTGGACAATCGAAAACCTAGTTTTACAAAGCTTGGTTATCCAGTACAGAACAAGAGGGGTTATTGAGTGGTCAGATGCTACATCTATCACTGACATTTCCATCACAAGCTACGTCTTACACTCACTTCAAGTTAACACGTACTACGAAGTTCAACTTGTGGCAGTATTTAATTCTGTAACGGTGATAGCTGGCGTAACGTACGTAGTAAGAACATGTGCTGCCCGCCACAGTGGTCCAAATTGTCAAAGTTGTAAGTAATCTGCTAATGCAACACGTTAGTATGCCATTCCCATACTGCCAGCATCTCACGATTGCCAGCTCATTTCCAAGACTATATGTTATAACATAGTTCATCTACGTACATTCAAGTTCAGAATCAAAGATAAATTGTGGGTGACAGCGCACTTTGATTAAATTCGCCTTGGTTACCGTGCTATTATTTCTGAGCAATTAGTGCTTGTAGGAAAAGTGAAAAGTTTATTGTTCATCAACTTTGACTTTAAATAATATTGTCTCTATTCTTTTAAAACTTTCTAAATCTTCAATGTTGCGAAACGAAGTTCATTGAAGAAGGTATGACACAACACAATATAATGTAAAACAGTGAAATAAAATAAAATATACACTACACTACACTACGTTACATTACACTACACTACACTACACTACATTATTATAATATTATTATTGTAATAATTAACCATATATTAACAGCGTATGCCGTGTGTGCAGCATATGGAGATCCACATTATATTACTTTTGATGGCTTAGCTTATGATTTCCAAGGAGAATGCGATTACATACTGGCCAAGGACTGTCAGCAAGATCCAATGGTCCCCATGCTGCCTTTATTTGATATTGTCGCCCAGAACAGAAAACTGGACACGAATGCTAGAGTGACTTATACAAGAGAAGTTACCATGAATCTCTTTGGCGTGGTAGGTATAAATTATTAAATATTGCTATTGGTATGGTGCATACGACATCTTGGTACAAAGGCAGTGGCACGAAATTTTGCATGGGGGGGGGGGGGTTGCTAACCAACCGTGCGTCGAAGGCGCGACCTTCCTAGGGATTCGGGAGCATGCTCCCCCTTAAATATTTTGAAATCTAGACTCTTTGAAACGCTATTTCCTGCATTTTGAGGGACAAATTTTGCTGACACAAAAGGTTTCAGCCGTGTGTTAATTATAGCCAACTCAATTTGCATTACATTATATTCTACGTGTAGTGTTTATTACTACTACTTAACTACAATATATTTTACGTATAGGATTTGGCACTAATGATAGGCGGCGAGGTTCGTATATCAGGAGTCCGCGTCAATCTCCCTGTGTTAGTCAGTATCAATGTTACTGGGTATGCTGGACTTGACAGGGTTTATGATGTATACCTCTACCACATGGGTATATATATTGTAAGTATGGGTCACATTAAGTTCCTGCTACATATAATACGATTATATATTGTGATTAACTTCTGATTTCACTCACAAGCAAATTGTTTACTATGTGTTCACAATAGGTGCACGGATACTATGTCGTCACATTAAATATAGTCGAAATATCATTTGGATGAATGTGCATTTGTTCAATTGCAATGGTCTGTGTCGTATCTTCCCAGATTGTATTTGTGTAACACGTCATTATTGCATAATATTCTTTAGGTTTTAGAGACAGACTTCGGTGTTGCTGTTGCATGGGATACTGAAAGTGTCGCCTTAATAAAAATGCCGTCTAGTTTTTGGAATGCAACCTGTGGATTGTGTGGCAACTACGATTCCGAACCGATGAACGATCCAGCAACGCCAAATGGAGATATAGTATGTATTTTTTATCTTTCTCAATGGTCAATATTTAATTATTGTGTAAATAATACAGACAATATTTAAATGACATGCCGTACATTTTCTTGTACATCTCGTGCTACAGATTTCCATATCGGATGTATTAGACTTGGTTATAGATAAATAGATAAATTTTAACATTGAATTTTGGTTAACAGGTTTCTTCTGCAGCCGAGTTTGGAGACAGTTGGGTTTACAACAGACTGCAGTGCTCGGCCGAAACTGACGACGTGGAAGCCTGTGATGGCGTTGACGAAGCCACCAAGAATGAAGCTATGGACATTTGTTCAATATTGACAAATGTTACTGGTAGGTTATCTAATTAACATAATATATGCCAAACCTAATCACGTATAAGTGTTTATTATGAGTGACCCAGGTCAGAAAAAGATGTAGTGCAACGTAGACTAGATGCCGTCTATGATCGTAAGATTTTGAAATCCGAATAACGAGCTCATGAGTCGGCCTGGAGTCTGTATGCACATTCGTATTGCGTTGGTAATGTGCTGACGTCACAGAGACAGCCAATCAGTGATGGCACAGAATTATGTACCGATACGTACATAGCGATTCACCTGGCCATTCTTGAGTGTCCTCGGAATGGCTGTATTCCCGACCCGGATAGTAATGCAAAGTAATGCTATGGCAGATCAGCAACTGTGTTAATTCACGTGTTATCTTTTGTTTGACACAGGGCCATTTGAACCTTGTCATCATCTTGTCGATACGGACATCTACGTGTCTGCGTGTATATATGATTTATGTGAAACACTGCCTGAGCTGTCGGATGTGTGTGACAGCCTACAAGTGTATGCGCAAACCTGTATTGAGAGAGGCGGCAGTCCACGTGAATGGAGGTCCAGTATATGCCGTAAGTTGACTGCAGATTCACATAACTGTTTTGATAATCAACAACAAATAGTAAATCAATTGCAATTTTACATTATTAACTGCTAGTTGAGTGTTTTCATACTGAAGCAGCAGATCTGTTTTTATGCCAACAGCCATTGATTGCCCAGCCGATTTGGTGTACAGTTCATGTGCTACTGCTTGTCCTGCGACCTGTTCAAACCCAGACGCCCCTTCACGATGCATGTCACCATGCATTGAAGGTTGTCAATGTCCTGCCGGAAAACTGTTGGATAAAGGCGTTTGTATTGATGCCGTAGATTGTGGTTGTAGTGATAATGGGAAATATTATTCTGTGAGTATCCAAAAAAGTCATTATGAAATATTTATTCGGGTTATCATTATCTTTCAGATATATTGTCAGATATTTTGTTTCTTGTGCTTGCAAACTAGTTAAATATATAGTTAATCGTACCAACATAGATATATATTGTTGACTGTGCCTATCAACTAGTTAGATATATTGTTGATTGTGGCTATCAACTAGTTAGATAAATTGTTGACTGTGCCTATCAACTAGTTAGATATATTGTTGACTGTGCCTACC